AAAAAAAAAAAAAAAAAAAAAAAAAAAAAAAAAAAAAAAAAAAAAAAAAAAAAAAAAAAAAAAAAAAAAAAAAAAAATATCTCACACTTGTTATGTAAAGCTATAAAAAGACCGAACGATTATTTATGCAAATGATTATATATGATTATTAAGAACTAAACTTTATGCAAACGATTGTTTATGATGTTATTAAATAAAAGTGTCATTAACGCAATATTATCCAGTGTTTATTAATAATTTGAACAGCGGCGAAGAAACGTTGAAAAGTCAAGACGTTTAAATGAAAACGAATACTTCTGATTGAAACTAAAATATTTTGTCAGCTGACAGTATTGAAGTTAATTGAGCAATTACTTGCAATGGTATTTGCTTTTGAAATATTACTTAGAATGAACTTATAAATATTACATGTTTTAATTTGCTCATAATTTTTGTAAAGTTCTTTTCATTAGGTTTTAATTGTTTTTAATTTAAAATTTAAATTACTGGGGGCGGGGGGATAAAGCACCATATAGGGAGCGTACGGCATCCTATAAGATCAACAATGATTTCAGTTAGGCTCTACCACGCGTGCTTCGGATACGGAGATTAATCCCCGGCTCATGCCCTATAGTAATGAGTTAAAAAATATTGCTTCCTCGCTTTATATAAGTTTATAATATTGTTTGTATTGAAATTGCTTTATATAAGCTTATAATGTTGATAATAAGTTCCTCTGACATTTTACAATCCTATCATATTCTCTCTATGTGATGTTGGTGCAGAAAAATTGCCAGGTAATCTCCAGGTAAATGACTTTAAGTTTGTAATTGCGTAACAATTATCGGGGGTTGGCGAGCGGCAGTGAGCAGGGGGCGGAGCCCTCTAGTACATATATATATTTAAGGAGTTCAAAACACGGTGAAATAAAGAGATAAGGAATCACCAATTTTCCAGTACATCTATTTTTTTTAAATTTTACAAATGGTAAAAATTTTACAATTTTAAAAGAAAAGGTACATTTTAAAGATTATTATTCAGAATTCAAATAATAATAACTCAATATAATAATAATATAAATAAAATTAAAATAACAGTTCCAGACAAAATTTTTCTACCTGAACACAAAATTATCAAGAAAAAAAAAGGAACTTGTTTAGTTAATTTGGTACGAAGCAAATTTTGTATTGTTTTTTAACACATATAATGCAACAGAAAGATAGGGAATAGACAACTTTTAAAAAGGCTCAAAAATGCAAAAAATAATAGAAGAAAAGACTATGTAACCTGGATCGAAAATTAAGGAAAAAAAATTGAAGTTCTGTAGAAAGCAACTTTTGAGGTTAAAGCATATTATGAAGTACCATAAAGAAATTTTTACATAGTTTCAATCTATTGGAAGAGTTTAACTTTTTTGCGTTTGACATTCTGGAATATCTTTTGGTTCAGAAATTTTTCAAAATTTTTAAAAACACTTAATTAGATACAAATTTTCTGTGTCTGAATATAAAAACAAATAGCTCACGGATATAGAAACGAATGTCAAATTTGACCTTGAAAACAGTTTAAAAGTCAAACTGGAACAAGAAAGCAAAAGACAATAGATTTTCTGGACAATTGCAAGTTTCTTGCTATTTTAGGAATCTTGACTTTGAATTGTTTTGCAGTTATTAAAGTAGTTTTTTCAGTCTAACTAATAAGACTTTTGATGTTCCAGAGATTTTTAATATTTCAAATTATAAAAACATAACCCTCATTAAATTTTTAGTATTAGAAAATATTCAATGCTTAATTCATTTAATCATTAATTTTCATGTTCTAATGCATACGTTTTTTTAAAAAAAAAACTTTACTTCTGACAAGGGTTCCAAAATTTTATATTGAGGGATTGGAAGGGAATGAAGAAATATAATGAAGGCTTACTTGGTGCAGTTTTCTTAGATATGGCTGCCTTGCAGAGAACACACTTTTTCATTTTTATGCAGCATTCCTCGCAGGCCACTTGGTGCTTGCAAGGTTCAAATATAACGACACCCGGAGCATCAGAACAAATGATGCACTCTGTTTCGGGTGGTCTCAGTTCTGGCTGTGGCACTTCTGTTCCCTCCGCAGATGGCAATGATTGTGCCTGTGACCTTCACAAACAAAACAAAATTTTTTTTTCAAGCAATACAATACAATGATTAAATAAGTTAAATATTCATAGCAGCCAACATGGATAGTAAAAAATGAAGTAGATTTTACAAAATAATATAAATTTCATAATAATTGTTGCTAAATATTTTACACATAGGAAATTCAGTTCAATTTTTCAGTTATGATTGACATTAAACATACTAGAAAAGAAATTTACTCAATTTTAGAAAATTTTCAAAAATGTACAAAAACTAGGAAAATTTTAATTAAACCCGTAGACCAGGAGAAACTGGTAAAATCCAGAAGAGTTGGCAGTTATGAATATTTAAACTTTTAAATAAAACCTTATTTTAGACAAAAAATAAAGCAAAGAACACTATTTCTTTTGCTTATAAGCTTATTTCAGAAATTAATGTATAATTAGAAAACACATTCAATTTAGTAGTGATGTCTATAATGATCAGAGAAATTAAAACCAAACAATAATGACCCAAGCCAAACAAAATTAAAAATATTACTTACCATTTAGCCGGCATAAAAAGTCTATACATCCAAGCTATTTCGTCCAAGGGCTTTAATAACATATTATCATAATTGTTTTGAACCTTAAGAATTAGTCAGGGCAAAAAAGCAAAAAGTTGAAGGTAAAATTGCTGGATGTGCTTTTCCCTTCTTTATAACATTTTATTGCAATTAAATATAATTAATCTATTTCAAGCACTATTAATCTATTTCTTGTTAAAATGAAAATTATGAAATGGGAAAGAAAATTTAAGATGAATCTTTTATACCTTTTTTTTTAGATATCCCTGTTAGTTTTCGATGAATTCTACAAGTTTTTTGAAAGTCATATTTTTTTCTGATTGTGTTTGGAAATACTATTATTAAAGAACATTGCATATTGAAACTAGTAAAAACTTAGCTTTGAAGATTTGAATGCTAAAGTGTTGTTATTTTTTTGACTATAGAAATTAGAATAACTCTGAGAATTCTCAGTAAGTTTTGTTTCTTAAAAAAAATCTTCAAACTCAAATATTACAAAAGAAACATTGCACAAAATATTTAAAAAAAAATGTTTCAGGGGTGATTGCAGTACAGTGTAAATTTTAGGAGCAAAAAATCTATACAAATTCATATACCATACATGTTTTATATTTAACATAAGTTTTTGAATTAACATTTATAATTAAATTATCTACTAATGCAGAATATCACACATTTAGAGTAACTAAGTCAAGAAAAAACTTACTTCTCCCAAGAATCGCGATATTGGATTTTAAAATCACGTGAATATGAATTGCTATATTGGATTTATAAAAATGGAAAATGTAATAATGAATTTTAAATCACACAAATACAAATCATTGTGCAAAACTATTAGATCACGTGAATATGAATTGCAATACATGGTTTGCAAATCACGTATCAATACGAAAATTGATTTTTGATATTAAAAATGCCTGAATATGAATCACAATATTGAATTTTAAAAACGCGTGAATATGAATCAGGATATTGGATTTTTAAATAATGTGAATAGGAATTGCGACATACAGTTTGAATACGAATCACAGCTTTTTAGAAGCATAGCTTTAAATCAGGTAAAAACGAAAATCTATGTTTGGCGATAAAATCTCGTGAACAAGAATTACAATATTAGCAGATTTTGGCTAAATTCCAAATGGGGGAAATTCAGTCAAACCAAAAGATCAAATTGGTGAAAGAATCATACAAGAAGTAAATCTTCCCGTAATTGAAGGGGGAAAAAATGCTTGCAACTATCTCATTAAAGGGATTTAGAAAAGGCTTTAAAATTTTGTTAGGGTTTAAGTTTTTGATTTGCAGAAATCTGCGAACCAATGGTTTTTAGAAATGTAGAACTCTGGTATATTCCTACAAAAATTGCATGGCTTGCTTCCATTTTTTAGAACTGGGAGAAGAATACCAAAAACCCAGAATTCTGGGGTGCCCCCAGAATACAAAAACCCTCGACATATTTTTAGAATCAGTTTAAAAACTCAAAAAACACTTGAAAATGTTAAAAAAAAAGAACATACTTTTTCATTTCAGCATACTTCTGCAGCAAATCTAAAACACTTGAAGTTTGAACAAGCTCAAAAGGTGTTTTCCCTTTTCTATTCTTTTTAGTCAAATCAGTTCCCTCTTGAATTAGATAGCATGCTATCGCTAGTCCATGGTTTATTTCCATGTTTAAACTAGCTATATGTAACAAAATCTGAAAGAATATTAGCAATAAAAATGGATGATTAAGTAGACAATTATTTTGCTGAAAGGGAAAAAAGAGTTATTCAAAGGCATAAAAAAATGGAAAACATAAAACAATTTGTTTTGCAGAAATATTTACTACTAATTCTTTTTAAGCAGGGTTTGTGATTTCTTAATTTTTTTTTTAATCAAAAAAATCTGACTTTATTTGATTTAAATCAGATTTTCTTAAAACATACTTCAAGAGCTTCAATTTATGTTAAGACAAATTTTATAAATATAATTATAATGGAAATATTAAAAATAAACCATAGCAAAAACTTTCCAATATTATTTTATAGAAATATATACAATAATAAAAAGAAACATATAATCCAATTTCTTGTAAATGGAACTAAAAATGTCTCATTATTAAATACTGAAAATCAAGTTAAAAATAATTTTAAAAAAACCTATTAAACCTAAAAACCTATATCTATTTTATCACTTTAAATTTGTGATGTCATCAGTTAACAGTTCGAATGAAGTTGGAAGCACTATGATGCCAATTTAAGATGTGTTTCTAAGGCAAATCAAAAATGAATACAGTATGCATGTGCAACTTGTGATATCCAGTAGTTAGTTTTCCTGAATTAATAGAAATTTTTGTACTGTCATAATAATAAAAAGTNATCACTGCCTTTATTCACATACTTGCAAATATATTTGATGCTCTTCTTTTAAGGGCGAGCATAAGTATTAGAGTTTAAAGTGAATTGTTGCAACGTGCGTGAATATTACTTTTTGATTTATCAGGTTTCTATGTCTAGTTTGGATTGGAATATGATTAAATAAAGATATATTTAAAACATACGTTAAATCTGTCTAAAAAATGAAAAAAAATTAGTTATAAACCTATTCTCAGATCTACTGAATATGCATATAAAATTTCATCAAAATCGGTCGAGCCGTTTAGGAGGAGTTTAACCACTAAAACTGTGACAAGAGATTTTTATATATATAGATAAACACCTGAACTATGATCTGAAATAACATATGAATTTGTTATTTAGAAATTTTTTTATCGTACCTTCAACTTTGACATATCAAGAGTATACTATGCTTGCAAGCAATATTATACAGATGAAATTTACTTTATAAATAAATAAAAAAGTAAAAATCATTCAATTCCTTAATTTCTAATAATTCTCATGTAAGTTACCATATAAAATAAATGCTGTTAAAATTCATATTAGTTTAATGAATTTATTTTCTTAAATCAATCCAAAAATATCTTAATATACGAATACTAAAAATAATTGGTTAAATGGGTAAAATAAACGCAGTGTGCATTGTAACAGAAGAGTCACATAAAAAAATGATACTCACAGTTGACAAAGCAGGAGAATCTGGCACATTTCCATCATACTTAATATTGCCCGTCTGTATGTGCCTCATAATTGCCAAATGTAGACCCGTATCTCCATCTTCATCCTCCACGTTGATGTCTGCCCCTGACGAGACTAAGAGTTCTACCAGGGGACAATGGCACTGACTCACAGCAAGAAGCAGGGGTGTCTGCTTGCGATTGTTTCGCACATCAATTTCACAATGACCCTAAGAGATAATACACACTTACTGTTATTTTTTTCGCATTCATATCATTAAGTCTGGTGCATAGTTTTTTCAACTGTTATATTCTCAAGTTCATGACAACAAGGTTTGACTATAGACCTAGTAACAAAACGTCACCACAGTATCAGCAGATAATTTTTAATCTCACTTAAAAAAAAAAAAAGTTATTGAGATTCCTTTTTAAAAAATCACTAACCTTGCTTCCAATATCAAAATTATAAGCCTGAGCTGAGAGAACATTGCAAAGAACAAATATGTAAATCATGTAAGTGTTCATTATTGTTTTTCACTTCCTTTTAAATATCATAGCATAAAATTCAAATTAAATGAAAACTTGCTTTTATTTATAATTTTTAAATTCTTTATATTTTCACATTTTGCTACAGATATGTTAGATAAAGCAGAATGTTCAAATAAAAGTATATGTCTGATTTCATTTGGAGTTGAAGACAAATTTGGATAGCAGAATGTACTGCAGTAGATAAACACCATGGATTCTGCTTCCAGGTTATAGGATAAAAACAGGAAATTGTACTGCAATTGTCTACTACAAATTTAAAATTTTTTATTTAAGATGTAAATAAATAATTCAAAACTATAACGTAGGATTTAAATTACCTGAAATAACAGTGTTTCGGCCACATTGAAATGACCATTCAAAGCAGCTAAGTGTAAAGCAGCAAAGCCGTCATCCTTTTTGCCATCTACTATTTGTCTGGATTTATTTATTAATCGCTCAGTAGCACTGAAATACAAATGTTTTTTTTTTATTTACAAAAGTTACTAATAATAAGAAAAAATAGGAAAATAGAACCAATGACCTTACAAATTGTTTCCTTTTAAAGCTGCATGATGTAAAACATTGAAACCTCTTTTGTTTTTCAGGGTGAAGTCTATTTCAGGAACATTTATTAAAAGTTCTAAGATTTCCAGATTATCTTTACTAATGGCATCATGTAAGGCAGAATCCCCATATGAGTCCTAAAATATACCAAAGTTGTGCCACGGTTACATTTAAAAAAAAGAAAGAAAAAAAAACATCTGGAACTTTAACTACAATTAACTACTATAGAGTACACCAGGGTGTGAAAATGAAGCTTGCCATTGGCGGCTAAATATTATTAGAAGGCCAGTAAATATATTTTAAAATGTTGTGTTTCAATTCAGATTATCAAACCAGGAAGTAGTGTCCTTATACTGAGGATAGATTTTATGTTTTTTATTTGGAGACTGCTTCTTTCTGAAATTTTTTGAAATCTGTATTCATTTTTAGTCAAATTATTGTTCATAATCAAAAAGTGCTTTTGCGTCAACATTTTAATATTTTTTATGCACATAAAATAAATATGATGAAATATTTTAGTCTAACTTTAGACATGAAATTTCACGCCCCGAATTAAACACATTGAAACAATGGCAGCATTTCAGAACAAATATTTAGATAAGTTTTTGCATACAAATTACGAAATAAAATAAACTATTATTATTGACATTTTCAGACAAAATAGGATTTTTTTAAACAGTTTAACAGTAAGATGATTTATATAGGGTTATTAAAAACATTAGNTGATTTTATTCTAAATGACGTAATTCGAAGCTTTTTCCAAAATGCGAGAATTTCGCGCATTGAAATTGATTTATAGAGTGCGCAAATTTCTCGCGGTAATCATTTTTTAATGCGAGAAAAGAAAAAAATATGCGAGATTCTCGCGCTGTAGTGAAAACACTGTGATGAAATATTTTAGTCTAACTTTAGACATGAAATTTCACGCCCAGAATTAAACACATTGAAACAATGGCAGCATTTGAGAACAAATATTTAAATAAGTTTTTGCATACAAATTACGAAATAAATTAACTATTATTATTGACATTTTCAGACAAAATAGGATTTTTTTTAAAAGTTTTACAGTAAGATAATTTATGTAGGGTTATTAAAAACATTAGTCTCAGATTAATATAGACTGTAGATTAATGCAAACTATAATAAAATTTACAAAATATTTTTCACATAAGGAGTTAGGATTTTTACAATTAAAAAAAGGAAAATAGGATACACAAACAGCAAATTAATATTAACAAATATAAATTAATTGCACTATTCCCCCATTTTGGCATTGATAATATTTGTTACAATTTTAAATTCAGAACTTTGAACAGGATTCAAATAAAAAAGTGGCAATTTAAAATGTTGATGTTCTAAAAATATAGGTTTTGTGATGTAAGTTTGAGAATTTTTAAATAGGCCCTTGTAACAATAAAATTTAGCCATTTTAAACCTCCAACTAGAGATTCTTTTCAAAGTTATAGCTCAACACCGAAGTGTTTTAAAAGAGGACTTCACAGTAAATATTGAAAGTAAATGTTGATAAAAAGCACAGTGCAAATTTAAGAAATTAATTTTAAAATGACCTGTATAATTCATTCAAAAACTGTTTGAGGGAAAAGAGCTGTTTCTCTGATGTTAAAGGAGGAAAAACAAGTACTAACCTGAACATTAACATTGCAGTGGTGCTTGAGAAGAACTTTCACACAATCTAAGTGCTGCTTGTTTACAGCCACATGCAATGGACTACATCTTGCTTTATTAACTGCATCTATGTCAGATCCTTTTTTGAGCAGTAAATCCATCACAACGGGTTGATTACTAGAAGGGAAAAAAAAGCATCATTATAATTGTATACAGTATAGATCAAGGTTTCACATTTTTTTTCCTGAAAGAAATCTATTTCTACCCTGAATATTTCACTCAACTTGAAATTTAAAATAATACATGATTTTGGGCATTATGAGAATTATTATATTTTATTAATGGTTGTCGAACCGCCGACCCAATTTTTGGGTTTACGCCTTCTGACATTCAACTCTGTAGCCTTGTAATTTTGAACCCAATCCAGAGATCCACGGTTAGCCAAACGGCTAGAGGACTCTAGTCTATGATCTGTCTGTTTACTAAGACCTCCATGTTCACATAAGAAATCATACTTCTGGTGATACTGAATTAGAGATTGGTCGCTCTCTGGTTCAGATATAAAAAAAAATTACGATTTGTAGATCTATAAATGTGTCCACCCAATAAACGGGCTGTGATGTGTGCGAGGCTAAAGTCATATTTTAGGCTAAAGGTGGTGCCACCGAAAAAAAAAATACCCTCTGCCTTAAATTTGCTTTGTTTAACCAAGCAGGCTAGCTGGTATTGGCAAGTGACATTAGAAACAACAAGAAATCGATTTTCAGAAAGCAATTTATTTACGTATTTTTTGCAATTTTTGAATTTTTTTTCCAATTATTAAATGACACTGAATTAAAAAACTGACTTAGATATTTGATAGTTGTGAGTGAGAGATGACAAAGAAAATATGAATGAATTTAATAAGCAAATGATGCAAACATTTACCCGAAAGCCGAGTAATGCAAAGCTGTATCCCCATCATCATCCTGGGCTTCTAAGCTACTGCCAGCTGCAAGGAGCAGGCGTACTATTTCCAAGTGGCCTTGATGGCTGGCAACTTGCAGAGCTGTCTTTCCTGAACTTTTCTGATCCACCTATTCATACAGAATTAGAACAACATTTTAATACTTAATTAAAGCAAAGGGTAAAACAACAAATTAAATTTTTACAGAAAAATTGGATATCAAGTTATGAAATTTTAAAAGAAAAATTGTAATTAACAAATTTTATAACTATATTTGCATATTTTCTTTTCCTTAAACTAAATAAGAAAAAGTTTGAAACAGAATATTGAATTAATGGTTTTAAACAGCTTACCCAATTCATTCAGAATTTAAATAATATTGAAGATCGATTTATAAATTTTTTAATAGAATTTGAAATATTTCACAAATATATATACAAAGGAATTTTAATAAAAGCAAATAATATATTCATGTAATCTTATATGGCCAAAATCATTTGTTAACATTTTCCCTTTATATAAACAAAATTTTATCCATTAAAGCCAAAAATAAACCTTCTAAACTTAATTTCAAAAACCAGGTTGGGGGAAAACAATGTTTTTATTTGTTTAATACACAAAAGATAATATTTTAAGCTCCAAATCAAAAGTAACTAAACAGTTCAAAAACATTTCATAGAAAACCTCTTTTAAATAAATGTTTTCACTCAACACCTCAAAACCATTTTTGCATCATAAATATGTTAACATTATTAAAAAAGAAGTAATTGAATATTTTAAATGCAATGAAATGTAAATGGCGCAGCAAGTTAACTTTAAAACACAATAAACATGGAAATTAACACTCGACATATAAGTGCTATTTTAGTAATGCGAGTAAGAGTGATATCTTCCCTTGCTTGTTTCTAATATGAAAGTAATATATTTCAGTATTATTTACACTAATATCATTATTTAGCAATATGCAATTGATAGCATTAATATTAATCAGATATAATAAAATATTGAATCAGTACAAATTTTGCTTCAAAAATTAATTTTATTATTATTTTCAATTTAAAAATAACAAATAGTACGTAAAAAATTTCTTTTTTATCTATTCTAACATAAAGCAGCTTCAAGTTTAACATTATGCTTATTAACCCACAGAGGATTAGTACCCTTTATTTATGAACCTTCATATGCAGGTTTTCCTGCACCAAGAATACAGTTTTTCCATGTTATTGAATAAGAAAATAAATCTCAACAAGAAAATTTCAGATACACATTTACCCAAGAGCTCAATGCTTTGAGGGTTATTATAATTCAGAATTAAGTAAAATTACGTACAATTAAAATACTTTAAATGAATTTTGAATATTTTTGTTAAAACTTTGTGATTTTTTTTACATGAAAAGAACATTTTTATAATATAGTAGGGAACCGATTATCCGGAACGATCGGGACCATTGCTATTCCGGATAACTGATTTTTCCGGTTTTCTGAATCGCTACGAAAAGCAGTTTTTTTTTATTGTTAAGCCCAACTAAAAAAAATAATAATTTGGAAATAATCTTAAAAAGAAGAAAAAACGATAAAGTAATACACTAATGATTATTTCCAAAATGATGGTAAGGTAAACATCTTTTAAAAAAGAACGAAAAATCCTGAAATCTTATGAGGAAAAAAACATTTAAAAAAAATAATAATGGCGGGAAAATGTATCGAACTTCTTTCCGGTTTTTTTGGTTTTCTGATTTCAGGATAACGGGTTCTGTACTGTATTATAAAAATGAGTGAAAGCACAATGCATACATACCATACAAATTTAATTACTTTGATACGAGAAAAAAAAATTAAAAATAAACTTGAAAATTAAGTAAATCAGCCCCCACTTATTTTCAATTAAGCTTTTAATTGTCGCATGCATAGAAAAAAATAAAGCATCTTTAAGGATCTGGATCTTTTTTATCTAAAATTTTTCTATAATAATAATATTTAAATAACTTTCAAAACTATCAGAGCATACATTTGGTGACATTCTATTTTATTCTAAGCATTTTCAAAGACATTGTTAATTTATCTTCACATAAACTTATTTTCTACAGATTATATCCCTCAAACGCAATGGTATTTAAACATTTAAATATTACATATTTATGTTTAAAGTATAGATTCCCATTAGCCTTTGAACTCAAAACAGCTTTTCATTTGGTTCGAATCAGACTAAAAGTATTCATATGAATAAAAAATTAAAATATTAAAACATAGGTTTAGTTATTAATAAATAAAAAATCCTTTGTTTGAACCAGCAAATCCTTTCTAAAATCAATTTACACAATTGTAGAAATAGCTGCAAAAAACCTTTATTCTAGTGGTAATATTTGTTATTAATTTGACATAAAATAACACTGAAATTAATATTTGTATCAATAACATTAACAAAATTGGATATGATTTAAAAAATAATTGATAATAATTTACCCTAAAAAAAGTTTATAGATGCGTAAAAAAAAAAAAAGAAGAGAAAAAAAAATTAACCATACTTTATCGGGGAATTTTTGCAGCAGGTCTCTTACAACATCAGTGTGACCCTGGGCTGCTTCTCTAACGAGACGATCACAGCTTGCTAAATCTAATTGGTGGGGTTCAGCTAGTAGGTGACCCAGCAAAGGATCTAAAATGCAATAAAATATTATAATGCACATTTTATACAAATCATTACAATTTAACTATACAATTAAAAATATTTATATAACAGACAATATTACAATAGAATTTATATGGTGCATATATATAGAGAGAAGCAAACTTTAACTGAAAATTGAATATCATAAAAATACAAAGGTAATGCAGATTATAGGGCTAAATTAGGAAATTTGGAATTCATAAAAACTCCATACTTATTAAAAAATATATATAAATAGGTTGCATTTTCAACAAAAAAAGTACTGATTGAATGAATTTTTTAATTGCAATTTGTTATATTTAGTTGCCTGTAAATTTTGTCTCATAAGCATTAGAAACAATGAAATAACTTGAATAACTTTTAATTCAATGACTAAGTTTCACTTACAAGTTGAATTTTTTTTAGATTAAAAATAAAAATATGTTGGGCGATAGATAAAAATATAAAAATAATTTTTTTGTATTTCCTTTTTCAAAAATAAATTAGAAATCATTGCAGCACCCATTCCAAAACCTGCATAAATATATCAACATGTCACTGTTATTGTAAATTTTTTGATTGATTTTAGAAAACTCAGCATTTTTGAAATACTCTAAAAACCAGGAGAAAACATAGTAGCAACATTAAAATAATTATTAAGAAATAAAACAGAAAAATTTAAAAAAAAAACCCATCTATCTAACATTATTTTCATTTAAATGGGTAATTTTTTAAATAAATAAATTTAAATTGAGAATCAAAATACAGGAAATTTTGCTATATGCTTGCTTAATATAATCTTATTGAGTTTTTGTCAAAAAGTAAAAAGCAAAAGTAATAAAGTAAAAAGTAAATCCATACACGATAGCAAATTAATATTTATATGAGAAAATAAAAGTTATTGAAATCTAATAAATCAATACTGAGGAAGGCAAGACTTAAAAATAAGAACAAGAACCCCTTTGCTTGTTAAAAAAAAAAGAGAGGTCAAAATCGATTATCAGAAATACCACCAAGTTTAATAAACACAAGCAAACTGGTTTTTAAATTCTTCATTTTGCTTTCCTGACAAGTAATTTGATAACCTTTTGTTACTCCTTCTTTGAAATATTTATTTGTGACCCCTAATGCATATGCTTTTTTGACAAGAATGCTAAAAATACATATTAAAGGTGGTTCTTACAGAGCACTTTGTATGTATTCAATAAATAAATAATATTATACATACGAGTATGTTCTTCTCTCTGATTTGCTGTCATCGTATTATTCATTTCCGTAGCAGTACCAGGAACAGATGTCACACATAAAGGATTGAATGTCCAGGTCTGACCATCAACATTAACCCTCAAGTCTCCATCAGAATAGATTTTAGTGATTTTACCAGTTTTACCTAGTGCCTATTAAAACAAATTCCATTGTTAGAATATTAAAATGTGTAGAACAATACATATCACTGTTTTTTTTCTTCCTTTTTTCAAAAATAGTGTGATAATTTAACCATTTATACACTGTATCTTTTTCTTAAATGATAAAAAGGTGCAAAATGATAAAAAGCAGCATATTGAATCTTTTAAGAAACTAAGCAAATTCAACACATTATAGAAACAAAATTAAAAATATATTTAACAATTTTATATTAATTAGGCAAAAACCACAGAATAAATGAATACAAATCAGTTATGAACACAAAACAGTTTCTTAGTTTCATAAAAAGAAAAAAAATTATTAACAAATACACAATTTAATATTTAAGTTAGAATGGTCAAGCAGTCAACATAAACACTGCTTTATTGTTTCTCTCAGCTTGAAACGTCATCCACAGTCAAACTTCATGCAAATAAATAACTGGTATCCTAAGCATAAGGTAGAAAAATATACTTTCTTATTTTCTTTAATTATTTTTTCAAGAGTTCGATTATTTTTTGGCGAACCAGAAACCGAAAGAGCAACAGTCACAATACGAATAATTTGGAAAGTGGTTTGGGCCTCTATTATACCATTTAAGAAGTCTATTACCATGAGCATTTTTTAATGTAACAAGTTTGGCACAGTATGAGAAATCTGTTTGTCAATCATGACAAGTTTCTGGGTCAGCCTCAAAATGTTATATTATAGATAGAAAAACTGCATTTTTATCATGAGTTAAAAATGACTAACCTCCTGCAATTATCCCTAGTTTGTTTTTTAGCCAAATACATTTTACTGATGATTAAGTGCGCAACATCATATGAAAAAGGGCAAAAGGAAAGACATTTTCATTCATTTTTGGTATTGAAGTAGAAAAGAAAGGGTAGACTTAATTTTCTCTTATAAGTGATAACTATGCTTAAACTTTCAGCAAGATCTCAAATCAACAATTTAGTGACATAAATTTAAAAACAATTTACTGAGCAATGTCAGATGAAAAAGGGCAAAAGGAAAGCTATTCTCATTCATTTTTGGTATTGAAGTAGAAAAGAAAAGGCAGACTCAATTTTCCAGTTATAAGTAATAACTATGCTTAAATTTTCAGTATGCACGAGCTCAAATCAATAATTCAGTGACATTAAACTGAAAATCCATCATATGCAATAAAATATTTATTTATTATTGTTTTTAAAGGAATATGTTGCGTTTATAGAACATGCAAAGAAAAACACTCACCGTTTTCATAACCTCAATCCATTCCCCGTGGCCTTTCTGAAGATCTTTCATCTTGGCAAGGTCATCGATTATTCGAACCATATCACCCAGAGAAAACAGCTGAATCTTTAATTTGAAATGAACACAAAAATAATTACTCCTGGATCAATTTAGGTTAAAATTTGAGTTCAGACTTTAAAGAAGAAAAAAAAAATTACTTTTTTCAGAGCACCAGGATGAAAAGTCCATCGATTGTTGCAGCCTTCATATTGAACCCTTATATCTCCTTTGTCAGTCACACGATGAACTGTCCCAACTTTTCCAACAAACTGAAAATACAATATATTTATTTATGCATCCAAGTTTTTATTTGTTTATTATTTTGTAAAATAATAAATGTGCATAAACGCATAAATACAACTGCTGTTGGTAAAAAGAAGAAAAAAATTCTATTAATTTACAGATTTTTTTTTTTTTCCATTTGTAAAAATACCTTTGACTTTAGCTTAGACCAAGTTGAATTTTATTTATGTNTTTTTGTAAAAATACCTTTAACTTTAGCTTAGAGCAAGTTGAATTTTATTTATGTATAACTTCAATAAACATATTATTAAAAATATATCATAATACATTTGAAAATCTAATACTAACTGCAGAAAAAAAAAAAAAAAAACTTGAAATGTTAAAATAAATTGTGTTATCTTAACTAAAAAAATTTCTGGTTTCTAAATATTTATAAAAAACTTGACTATTTCTTTTTTTAAATTGCATTAAAAGAGAAAAGAATTTAAAATTTATATTTGAAATATTTTTTAAAAATATATGTCAACGTGAATGACCGAAATCGAGAGAATGTCGACTTTTGGCGTTGCATGTCAACAATCACATAGTCGCTTTGGTGGAAGTCGGAAATATTTTTGATATCCGATTTGATATTCATTTATTTGTTGATATTATCATATTTATTCAATATTTTAATATCAGCAGCTATCTGATTCGAAGAAACATCAGTATTTGGAGTACCGGTTAAATGCATACTGGGCAGTGGCACTTGATCATAAAAAAATATCAGTGTAGGGTATACCGGGCAGTGGCACTTAACTAAAGACCTAGTATATATTTTGGACATTTACCAAAGCAACTATGTGATTGTCAACATNAAACTTGAAATGTTAAAATAAATTGTGTTGTCTTAACTAAAAAAATTTCAGGTTTCTAAATATTCATGGAAAAACTTGACATTTCTTTTTTTAAAATGCATTAAAAGAGAAAAGAATTTTAAATTTATATTTGAAATATTTTTTAAAAAATATATGTCAACGTGAATGACCGAAATCGCGAGAATGTCGACTTTTGGCGTTGCATGTCAACAATCACATAGTCGCTTTGGTGGATGTCGGAAATATTTTTGATATCCGATTTGATATTCATTTATTTGTTGATATTATCATATTTATTCAATATTTTAATATCAGCAGCTATCTGATTCGAAGAAACATCAGTATTCGGAGTACCGGTTAAATGCATACTGGGCAGTGGCATTTGATCATAAAAAAATATCAGTGTAGGGTATACCGGGCAGTGGCACTTAACTAAAGACCTAGTATATATTTTGGACATTTACCAAAGCAACTATGTGATTGTCAACATTCACCAGTGGAAGTCAACAATCACCCATTTTGGTCATTCACTGTAACATATATACTAGATACGGGTGTATATAATGGAAAATTGTAAAACTATCGTTTTTTCAGATACTTTATTTTTTAAAAAAATATTTTGAAATGCTTACTTCAGCCATTCTAGGATTCCATCCACCGTGGCCTTCTTGCATAATTTTAAGCGTTTCGACATCCATTAAAACTTGGACTTTATCACCCACGTTGAACCTTGGGTGGTTACTGGGAGGAGGTTTTGTGCTTGCAGCTTCTACCACTTGCCCTTAATTACATAAAAGATCAAATATTTCATTTCAGAGTATTTACAGTAGAAGATCTTTACAATGCAATTCTCCACATCAACCAAACCTTTATTTCTAAAGCTTTTTGTAACTTCAGTTTCTTTTTGTATAAATAATGTATATTTCTGTGTTTCAAAGCATTTGCCATTAAAAATTAATTTAAGGCAGTAAAACCAAATATATACTGACATGTTCCATAAGTATGTTGAATGACATGTGAAATGATCTATATAACACGAATTTCTTGATCTAAACAACACTAAGCCTCATGTTTCAAGGTTGTATCATAAAGATCTTCAACTGTATTTTGAAATGCATAAACCAATACTTTGAACAAATAATTTCTAATATTAGAAATATAAAGAATTAGTTTTGAAAGATTGCTTGCATAATCATGATTTCATAAAAATGAGAACAGCATCTCCTGCCATTTTATACATGGATATGCAACAAGAGATTTTCACTGAAATTAAATTTAGTAGACAATACTAAGACATATTAGATATATATACATCTAAGACATATCTACATCTGTTTATCTTAGTCAGTGTTGTAGCTTCACAAATCAATCAACAATTGCAGCAGACAGTTTTTTGCTGACAAAAAAATGCATCACTGACTGTAACTTGTACAGGGTGTGCGATTTAATAATCTTGGAAGTTCATTGCGACATTTGCATCACCTATTAGTGTAAACAGCAAAAGGGTCCTTACTTAAAAAACATGCCTCCTATAATATATATATATATATATATATACATACAGTGGAGCATCGGTTATACGCCGCCGAAGGGACCACCGAAAAACGTTGTATAAACGATAACGTCGTATAATCGACTTTTACTTCTAAAACTGAAACTAACTCTGTTTTCAGTTAATTTTAATGTTTAACGTGTTAATTTACATAAATTTCTAAAGTAGACAAAGCAAAACAAACAAATAACCAAAGGAGAAAAATTGCAGTGAGCCATTTGAATGTATGTTACCTTTAATTATATTTTCTTGCTATTATTCTCTACAATGCTTTGAATAGCGAGTTGAAGTTACTGCTTTCTATGATGCAATTTTAAATTTCTAATCACGGCCAAATCTAATGGCTGAAGCGCACTTGTGCAATTTGCAGGAAAAAAGAGAGCTTTTACATTTTCCAAAATAATTAGTATCGATGGGTGCGCTGGACATTGGTCGATGAAT